AGCAGGGCTGAGCCTGGTCAGTACCTGAATCGAAGACCACACGGGAACACTAGGTTGCTGTTGGAAGAAGTGAGGCCAGCAGGTGTCCTAATGCCCCAATATAGTGAAGAGGGCAGTATACTGTCAGTGAACAGTCTTTCAAATGAGAAGTCTGAGGTCCTGACTTTCTGTGGTCAATAAAAATCCCCTGGCACTTCTCATAAAGAGTAAGGGTGTAGCCTCAGTGTGCTGTCCAAATTCCTTCCATTGGCCCTTATTCATCATGGCCTCCCAATCATCCCCATCGACCAAACTTTCACTCTCTTTCCACTACACCTATAGCTAGTGTGTGGTGAGCTCACTGGAGCCATTGTCTTGTGGCTGCAGTCGCATCATCCAAGTGGATGCTGCAAACTGTTGATGGTATGGAGAGAGCCCCCTCATGATTGTGAGGTGCTTTGGGTGTATGGCTATACATGATAAATGTGCTATATAAATATGCATTACATTAATGCACTTACACTGACATTGAAAAATAAACATTAAAAACCTTAACAAGTGTTGTTGCCAAAGGCCTAGTGCTTAATGCATCGACACTCAACGGTGCTCATTAGTGACCCAAGTTCAATTCCCAGCTCTAGGTCATTTGCCGAATTCCCCCTTTTCTCTGCTCCTAATGCTTTCCTGACTGTAATCTCTCTACTGTCCAAGCCTAATAAAGATGAAACTCTTTAAAAATAATAATTTGTTATTTCTTATTTAAATGATTTACTAATGGCGACAGGCATTTAAATTACCTGCACGCCGCACGTTTTTGCCGTTGCGCACTGTGTGCCTGCACTTCAACTGAATGGGAAAAAACTGATAAGTCAGTCTTTCCATTCTCCAATTAAATGAATGCAGAGGCAGAGTTTCCGTTGACGTGACAGCAGTGTTTGTTTTCTCAAGATGACTACAGAGATTTTGAGAGATGGAGGAGAGACTAGTGGTCAAGTTGTCCGAAGATGTATTACTTCACAAATCTTGAAAATCACAATATTAAGAAATATCACAATATCAGCAGCAACATTCACGCACAATACAGCAGTTCAGTCATTGCCTAGCAACACTAAAAGCCCACCACACTTCTTTTTTCCTTGTCAACAAAAAAAGACAGTGTGGTGCGCCTTGCATTCTGAGAATGGAAATGCTCGTTATATTGCCCCCTAATTCAGACGAGAACTATAACACAAGTCTTGAAAAATATTTCTGAAAGATGAGATTGATGGACACATTGTAAAAACATTAAACAAAGGAGTGAAGAATAAAACAATAACATTTAAAATAATTTTAAAATAAACTCAATTTTTTTTTTAATTAATTAAAAAAAATATACTTTTTCCCCTATGTGTCTTCATTAAATGAATTCATTTTTCAGTGTTGTATGTGATAGTTTGCATTATAAATGATCTTAACAGTGGCAGATACGTTTGATAAACTAGAATTATTATTATTATTTTAAAATATGTCCCTTTTGAAGCCTTTTTTAACAGTTTTGAGTCTTTACAAAGGTGTTCTTGGAGCTTTAAACGACTACAGTTGAACCACTGAAATCACATGGAATGTTTTGAGGGTTTTTTTGGTTCTTTTTTGCACTTTGAATGCCTTGGGCCTATCACTGTCTACAGAGGACAAGAGAGCTCTCAGATTTCATCTAAAATATTTTCAATTGTGTTCTGAAGATAAACAAAGGTATCAGGGGATTGAAATGAGTGAGTTTACCATTCGGTTTAAGGAAGAAACCTAATAACATGGGCACTGAGTGCATATCTGCTTATGTATCTATTTTCATAGGGTGTCACATTTCAACATAATTGCTCCTAATTAAAACACTTCCCTGAAAAAAAAGACTAATGTGCAGTCTCCTAGTTCATGTTTACACTAATTTGTCTCTTTTTTTGGTACATCTTGGACAACTAATTTGCTACTTGCTTATACACGGCAAGAATTTCCATATATTTTGCAAGTCGGAGGTGAGGGTTGAAAAATTGGAGATGCACAAAGTAGCTTCTTTTTTTAAGGGGCAGCCATAATTTCTGCAAAAATAAAAGATAATTTACTGCCACTGCTGTGACCCAGGAGCTGTCGTAAAGTGAAGGAGGTAAACAACTACCAGGCAATTTGACTACCAAATGATAAAACAAACAACGCATTTAATAGGATGTAGCAGCTGGTACATCAACCAGTCAGAGCAAAAACGTGTCTAATGGCATAGAGCTTTAAGGCATGCCTGTTATGACAGCGACACTATTAGAACCACAGCTGACGGAGAAGAGGTGCGATTGGGTCAAAGATGCACACAAACATATGGAGGTGCGTGGTTTTAAAACAGAGCCGTCTTCGAGAAATGAGCAGACAGAAGCCCATCTGGCCAATAAATTACATAAGGTGAAATCATTTCTCTTCTCTCACACAAACTTTCATCACATCTCACTCAGTCACTCATCAAATCTCACTTAAACACACACACACGGCCTCTCACATGAGCGGTTCATCTGTGCATGCAGTCGGGCAGCTGCTAGTGTGGTCAGATCTGTGATGACAGCACCACAGGAGACACAAACGAGACCCCAGAAGCTTTACTACTGCTCGTTCAAGCCAAAACAGTTGATGTTAGACATTAAGGTTATGTTTACACGAGTGGCCTTCATTTTAACACTGTGTTTTAAAAGAATAAATGACCCCTAGTTTTTCCATAGCATTTCAGAAAAGATCTCCATTTACACTACACAACTGTAACAAGGACATGTGGTCAGGGGAGGCAGGTGAGGCAGTGCCTCATCTGTCGTCATCCTCACCTGCCATCATGAGATGTTTATTGATGATAAAATAAATATTTGTCCACAGATCTGTACTATAAATGCAATTTCTGCAGAATTAAAATTATTTCAATCCATTTAATAATCAAAACAGCTGTATTTTGCGTATTTACTGTTTAATTACAGCGTAGGAAAAGAGGTGAGGCAGCACCGAGATGTGCTTCACATCTGATTGCGCAATCCCTTGCACACTGGCTTGAGCACGTGCCTTTTGCTTACTCACTACCAATGTAATGCTTTATTAAAATGATTTTATACATTATAGACATTTATTATTTTATTATAGTTTTTTATTACATAAATGATCGTATTTGAAGAATAAAAGCTGTATCATCCACCTTGGTGTTTTTGAGAGGCATTTTGACTCGTTTTACATTTTACGTTATTTCTTTTTCCCAATATGTACCTGCCATGTGTATAGAAAGAATGCGGATATGAAATATGAAAAACAGTCGGTAGTTGGCAAATATATTGAGTGCATATATTTAAATATGACCCTAAAATAGTCATACCTCACCAACCTCAAACCTTACCGCATGTCACTGGACTGAAAATGGACGTCAGAAGATGAAAAGAGCAAAAAAAGTCTGGAATTTTATAGCTTAAATAAAATTACTAAATAAAACAAATTATAATGGCATTCGTTATGAACAACTAGCACTAAATTGGGCTGAGAGGGAAAAATAAATGGTAGTTCTACTTGGCAGAAATGTTATATGTAAAATAGGCAGCTAGCTCTCTGCAACTCTCACATGGTCGCCCACTGAAGCTAAGCCCGGTCAGTACCTGGATGGGAGACCACATGGGAAAGCTAGGTTGCTGCCAGAAGTGGTGTTAGTGAGGCCAGCAGGGGGCGTCCAACCTGCGGTCTGTGTGGGTCCTAATGCCCCAGTATAGTGACTGGGATCCTATACTGCTCAGTGAGCGCTGTCTTTCGGATGAGACGTTAAACCGAGGTCCCGACTCTCTGTGGTCGTTAAAAATCCCAGGATGTCCTTCGAAAAGAGTAGGGGTTTAACCCGGCATCCTGGCCAAATCTGCCCACTGGCCTTCATCCATCATGGCCACCTAAACATCCCCATATTCAATTGGCTGCATCACTGTCTCCTTTCCACCAATCAGCTGGTGTTTGGTGTGCGGTCTGGCGCAAAATGGCTGCCGTCGCGTCATCCAGGTGGATGCTGCACACTGGTGGTGGATGAGGAGATCCCCCCCACTATGTAAAGCACTTTGAGTGCCCAGAAAAGCGCTATATAAATGTAAGGAATAGGAAAAATGAAAAAAAATAAATAAATAAAAATCACAGCTAAAATTTACACTTCATCTGCAGGTGACATGCCATCTATCATTATGCGTGCAAATATGATCTTTGAATCGAGAAGCAGCACTATAACTGCTTGGGCGGGCAAAAGAAAGCAGACGAATACCGAATGAGAGGATGATCTGGCGCATGTTGAGACAGGCGATCCTCACTCACTGACGAGGGCTTTAGTGTCGCGTGCACACACTGATGTGATGCGCACGAAGGCTTAAAAGCTACTGTGTCCTGTTTCCTTATGTGAACAACCGTGGCTGAAAACACAACAGATGCAATCGGTTTTCTTTTAAATAGACTGGAAAAAGTGGTTGCCCTTTCCCTTTAACCATTCTTTGAACAGATTATTAATGGCCTAATGTTAACCGTGTGCGCCTGATTATCCTTTCATTATATTAGTGTACTAGTCTTACCCACTTGAAGCAAAACAAATGTCTCTCATTTAGAACAAATACAATAGTTTTTTTTATAGTATATGATATGCAGTAGCTATCTACATAAGACAGAAGCTTGACGAATAAGGTAATGTAATCTGTAATGAAACATATGATCCAATCAGAAAGTGAATGTGCATAGCCACAAATCAATTAGTTCAAGCAACCTAGAAGTTCAACTAAAAGAGTTTTCAGCAATTCCAAAAATATCATTTTCAAGAGAAGAAAACTCCAGAAAACTCTTTTCAAGAGCAGATATAAGGCCATTATATTGTGTAATGCAGGCTCAACTATAGCACAAGCTGTGCATTTTCCAAAGAAATTACACTAGTGTATGCGTAGGAAAACTCTTTGCAAATGTATGCATGAAAATAAAGTTCAGGGTTATCCTCAGAATAACTGTGATGCTGACTCACCTCCACGTCCTTGTATTTGTCCTTGAGCTCCATGAGCCGATGGTAGGCTCTGATAGCTTCACTGAACTCGCCCAGGTCTACGCACACCGCAATGAAATTCTCCCAGATCTGCCATCGCTCATAATTACACTTGAGCGCTTCCTGAAGGGTGCGGAACGCCTTCTCCCTGCCACACACACACACACACACACACACACACACACACACACACACACACACACACACACACACACACACACACAAAACAAAAATATCAGTGTGTTAAGCAGAACTACTGTTAACGTGAGCTGCTCATGGATGTAGATTTAACAATGTATGGCATTGGTACAGTTTCCAAAAAGAGACTTTTCCACAAGAATGTAGCAGTGTACTGTATATAGTTCTCATCTGACAAACCCTCTGCAAAGAGAACATGTTTAGATACAAAGGTAAATGTAGTGGCATAATCACAGTTGAGTCCTGAGTTTGACATTAGCATGCTAGGCTAATGGTGTGAGACTTGTAGCATAGTCACACTGGGCTAGAATAAATGACTTAATATTTTTGATTTAAATATTTAAACCCAACACAAACTAAAATCCTCACGTTGTAAGAGTGCTATACAAATAAAAGTTTATTGAATTGAATTAAACTTTACAATTATATGGTTCTATTTGACATTTTTGTCAAATGAATTGTTTACATTTTAAGATTTTTCATTTAAAAAACAAAAAAGTTGTCCACAGAGTCGAACTCTAGCTTGGCTCTATAAGGTTCTTTCTGAGAGCTAATCAGCATTTCAAATGCATGCACAACTACCAATCAGAATCAACTTTCTTTGTCATTTCGCCAGACTACTACGTTGACCACAGGAAAGACCAGTAAGAAACACAAAATCAGACTCGACTAAATAATGCTGCAACCCACAAAATTGAGAAGAAAGCTGAAACTATATATATATATATATATATATATATATATATATATATATATATATATATGAGTAAAATGTTTTAATTTGAGTATATATGGTCAGCGAAAAATGTTTCAGTGTTTCTTAAACTTATTGCTCATTGTCTGTTTTCTTTAAATTTAATATTAAGCCTTGAAGTGTAAAAATGAGACTTATAATTCAATAAATATAAATCAATATTTCATATAAAGCATATTATTATTTTAATAATTATCAATATATAATAGTACTAATCACATCAAATTAACAACTGCACTGGAAAAAATATATAACTTTGCATGTTAAATTTAAACAAGCAAAAAAAATCATCCTAAAACATTAATAATACAGAAAGCAAAACATTTACTTTCTCAAGCATCAACATATTGTTACAACTCCAATTAAAATCTTTGTGATTGTATTTGTTGAAAAGTGATATTTCAATTAATGATCTGCTAGACAGAACACTATAATTTCAAGCAGAAAATGACTTTTTAGAATTAGAAGGTTCTATCTGTATTTGCCCTGTTTTTTTTACCCCAATTTGCAAATTTAAGAGAATTTTGCTATTGTACATAAAGAGTACATTTAGAATCTGTCATGTTGATGTATTAAAGAAAACTGTTACACACATACTGCTATATGGAATGCAAAAACTTTGAAGCTCAATATCTCAAAATCATATAGAATGCACCTAGAACCTTATAATTCCAAGGTGACAAAATGACATGAAGGATTTAAAAGGGTTTAAAATCATCCTGGATGAAGGATGAGATGTAAAGCAATACCATTAAGAAAAAAGTTTCTTCATACACCAGGCACAAACAGCTTTAAAAAAAAGTTACACAAACAAATGTGTGAAAGCAGTAGATTAACTTTAAGGAGGAAAAAGAGAATAATTGACAGTGCCAAAACATAAAACAAAGATTAAAAGGAAGAAAGAGAGCAACAGCAAAAGAAATAATCAAAAAGAACAAAAAAAAGAGTGAAAAAGAATCAGCAAAATAGCAAATAATGTTAAAAAATAACAGAAAAGGAAAAGCATAAATTAAGAAAAGAACATGTAAAGGAAATAAATAACAATAAAGTGAAACAAGAACAAATGATTAAAAGTCAGTAAACAAAATTGAAAAAGTTTGTAAAAGAGGAAAAGAAAAAGGGATGGAAAATGACTGAAATGACAACAGACCAACATTACCAATTTTACCCAATATTCCTGTATAACATTTACTATTTTATCTTTAATATTGCCCAGTATTTATGTATTCTGTTCCTTTTTAGAGCACTGGATTATTAGCTAAGCAACTTGCTAGCAAACTGCAGTGGAAGGGGCTGTGTGTTGAGCCTTGACGTGAGAAGCACTGTGTGTGGCACACAGAGCATTCCAGATCAATCACTTACAGTATGAGCTTTCAGAAACACGCATGGCTGGATTTCTGGAACAGAGCTGATGTTTTCGTAAGTGCTGTCAACAAAAGCTCATGACACAAGAGTCGACATGGGTCTCACTGTAACATCTAAAGCCAAGTTTCCTTTGAGCACAAGCAGGTGTGCGTGTACAATCTCTCTGTCACACACACACACACTCCTTCTGTTCTAGATGGTCCCCAGGAGCGTTAATCAGGTTTTAATAGAAGATTCCAAAGACTCATCTCAGGGATGAGTGAACAGGGCTAATTGGACGAGGGGCAGAGGCGAGGAGAGAAATCATTCCCAGAATCCCTCAGGTAAATGCCGTTACAGTGGCGTTCCAGGAAACACCTCTCTGTTCCTCACAGGAAATGGGCAAAAACCTCCAATCACGTCAAGCGGCGAATGTACTAACTGGCACTGCGCTTCTAAATTTGGTTAATATTGGCTGTTTGGTGGTGGCGGCGAAGCGCTGGCTGCTGGAGTGGACACACAGCAAGAGCCCAGAGGAGATTTATCTTTGCAATTACAGCTGCCAAAGTCATTCCTGCAGTAATTGAAAAGCAAGGAGGACTCTGAGGGTCCCCAGCGGATGCAGGATGAAGGAAACACAGAAATGCAGCATAAATCAGGTCAAGCAGAACCTGAATAGAGGCCTTATCTGTGGTTTGTACATGGTGGCGATTTCAGTGAGAGATAAGTGTGTGTGTGTGAGAGAGAGAGAGAGAAGTGCTTGCTGTTATTTAGCAGCTCACGCAAACGTCTATTAGTCCATGAGACTCTATTATGCAAGCAGAAAAAGAAAAACATTGACAGAAGTGGGACCATTGTATGTACAAGGGGTGTAACTGTTCAAGAAAAAAAATGACTGTCTGGTATAGACTTTAGTTTAGAAGTCACTGTTCAGAACATTTTAGGAACAGAGGCAGGAAAAAAGTTATCTTTTTTATTGAACAGTAGTTTATTAAACAAATTGTGTTTTTCAATTTAGTTCTAATTACAATTTTTGAAGATATATGTTATATGTAATGGATAATCAATAGCTTGATTTAAAATGTACAACAGGGAGGCAAAGAACCGCCAGCCATGCAGCAGAAAGGAATTTAAAATCCTAATAACATTATTTGTTCGGAACACATGCTTACAATATAAGCAAGAATGCTGCTGGCTGTTTTCTCCGCATTAATACGAGTTCTGTTACACCCTTGATTTACAGTACATGACTATTCAAAGACATTTGGGGATTGAGAAGTCTCATAATGCCTTATTCACATTAGCAGTGACTTTGTAGCTGCCTGTTGCGAATGAGTTTACGTGTTGCTGAATATAAACACTGTTCAGAGAAAATACTAAATATGTATAGAATCAGAACATAAAATGCTTGATTACAAAGATGATCAAGAAAAAAAAGTGTGTTCTCTGTCATTGCAACTATTTATCTGCTGCAAACTGAGATGTGTACGTCAACAGCACAGAGAATACAACCAGCCTCTGGAGGAGCTATAATTAATAATAATTAATTAAATAATAATAATTACCATGAGTCGCTTTGCCACTGTGAGTCACTTATAGTGTGAACGCAGCTTAAAGGTTATTGCATGCTAAATACAAAATTTTTGTCCGTAATTTTCGCACGGTAAAAAAATTAATTTGACCTCTCGTTGTGTCAATTGTACTGACACACTGCATACGAAATCCGAAATTTCGCATCTGAAAAAGCACTTAGAGAGGTGTTTTGACAGTTCAGAGCCACAAGCAAAAGGCAAAACACAAAATGCCATCACCTGAGCTACAGATAACTTTTAGACAAACACAGTGCATAATATAAGACAAAACGTGGCGGACAGTTGAAAACCCGTATGTTGGATTCGGTGACATTATAATAGAAAAAGACACCTCATTGTCAGCTTCAGTCAGTTGCTCTGATATGTCAATAAGCTACCTATTGTAATGTCTACAGGTACTGCCAGTCTCTGTTCAGGATTTGCTAACATACGTAATATAAGAAGTATTACAAGCAATGTAGCAAAATTTAACTGACTTCCAGAAATAAACTTTGCATTTTATAATAATCCAGCGCAGCTCTTTGATAAGAAGAACTGTCCTTTCTCTTTATGCCAGGGGTGCCCAAACTCAGTCCTGGAGGACCAGTGTCCTGGAGAGTTTAGCTCCAACTCTAATCAAACACACCTGAACCAGCTAATCAAGGTCTTTCTAGATATACTAAAAACTTCCTGGCACGTGTGTTGAAGCAAGTTGGATCTAAAGTTTTTAGGACACCGGCCCTCCAGGAACAAGTTTGGACACTGCTTTATTTGATGAACACAATTTGTAGCATATTCCTTTATTTTTATACATTGGAGAAGTGAACAAAGTACCACTGCTTGAACCGATTCCGAAATGTTTTGTGTTATTTTCTGAATGAAATAATTAATATGCATCAGAATTAGTGTGCAAGGTTTGTGTGCCTGATGAATTTTTCAGATATGAATACGAAAAAAACGCATACGAAAACTTCAGACTGAAGGCTGCATATTTTGATTTTTTTTTTTTTTGAAAAGTACCAAAGATAAACTAAAAGTATAAATTTAGCAAAATATAGCAATTACTGCATCCATAGCAGTTCTAACAATAGTTTTACCCTTGTCAAAAAAAAAAAAAATAATAATAATAATAATAATAAATAAAACAATAATAATAATCGTTCTACTCTTATTAGCTTCAAAAAGCAGAAAATAAACAAGAGCTTTCTTTGATGTATCCATCATTGGTCATGCTCGCACTTATACTCACTTCACTCTCAGTTTGATGTAGGCCGTGGAAAGGTTGTTCCAAGCTTCTGAATTCTGAATGGAGGAGAGTAATGATCAGAGTCAGGTCTATGGGTGGAAGTCATTTGTCAAAATAAGCCATTACAAATAAATAAGAATGCAGACATCCACAGAATATTTCCTAACCGCTTGTTTACTTGTTTCCTGGATGGAGCATTAAGCCTGCCTCTTGACTACATTTGAATTTTAAGTACGCCATTAGGAGCATAAGAGGCTCCTGTACAACATCTAATAGGGTGGATGCATAAAAGGCAGTAGGGAGGCATTGGTATAAACAGGGAGGCATTCGCAGACACAATCCATCGATTACCAAAGACATAAATTAGAGACGACAGCACAAGCACCGCATAACTAAGCATGAGCCCTTTCTTTATGGTCATATGACACTGATCTCCTTACAATGACCGTGTGACTTACATCTGGTTCCAGTCCGACGCATCTTTGAAAAGCTCTGGCGGCTCCTTCGTAGCTTTCCAATGCAAAATATGCACAGCCCAGGGAAAACCACACACCCAACTGCAGCAGAGAAAGAAAAAAAGGAAAGAGTAAGATGGAGTATCACCAAAGGGGCAAGAAGAAAATTGATGTGAGACTTCAAGTGATTCACTCGTCTTTTCAAAGTGTTATTCGGCCCTAAAAATTAATGATGTCTTTTGAACCGGCGTGAACCTCAAGGAATCGTATGCTTTAAATCAAGGGTTTGTTCTCCAGAGTGCTCATCTCTGTATCTCTCTGGTCCTTGTCTGTCTTGACTTCCTGTTCAAGGCCTGAAGGCAGTATTAGTTGCGAGAGGCCCTGCGGCAGAGCTCCGAGGCAGTGTTAAAGATCACGCCGGGGTCATCAATGAGTCCCTCAGGAAAATTACTCTGTCTTATTGCTGCCTGTGCTGCTGCATTATGGATGAAGGGAGGAATGAAGAATGAGCAAGAGGGAAAAAAATAGGGAGCTCTGCACTTTTTTTTTTCCTTTTTTGGCTCTGAGCTGGATGAACCTGATACAGCGCATCCACACGCTGCTGTCTTGTTTTTTTCTACCCCAGTGTTTCTGTCAGCACTGTGATAGGGGGCTGCGATTATATCGTAATTGTTGTTTTAATGATGTACGAGGTGACATTATCGAGCATGCCACTCACTTTGCAAGAAGACAAATACAGGCATGCCTTCAGAGTTTTCACTGTGTGATAAAGCCTATTAGAATGCAGTGAGAATGTCAAAAAAAAGGAGGTTTTGGGTAGGGGTTTCACCTTTTATATTTGGAAGATACAAAACTGAGGTGCTTCATTCCGGAACTAATCTGTTTTGGAATGAATCATGCGATTACCGTTTCAATTTTCCCAATCATAAAGAAAGTCAAATGTTTACCTTCTAAGGATGCTTTTACACCTATATATCAACTGTTATGTTCCAAAACAGGGATTAAAACTGTTACAATGCTGCACTTTATTCTTGGTGTGGTTCGCTTCCACACAGTAAAGTTTCTAAACGGGCCGAAATAGCTAAAACAAGCGAGTAAACTCTTCTCACACTGGCCAGAGTTTATTTGCCATGTTTATCAGCAATCCCTTCATTAAGCTCTAAAGTTAACGAAAATAAACTAAAGTTTGTAGACTCTCCAGATGAATTGCAGTATGGGTGCTTAACCTCTACCAGTGCTTACAGGAGGATAAAACTATGCACAATTGCATACCTGCATGGAGTTGATTTGTAGAGAGCGTTCGAAACACTCCACACACTGCTGGAACTCTCTGTGGCGCAGGTGATGCAGAGCTTTGGAGCGCTGGGCACGTGCGCTGCGGTGTTTGGAAAGCTCCCATGCTCGGTCATAATACTGCGGATCCTTCAGTACATCGCCCAGCAGACAGTACAGCGACGGCGTCTCCTTTTTCTCCAACTCACGCCTCAAAATCTCCTCCGCCTGAGAGAAAACACCGGCAGATTAAAACTACTCAGACAAATTTAATCCGCATATTGGAAAATATGTACACGACCAAAAGTATGTGGAGAGGTCTTTCTAATTACTGGGTTTGACTAGGCCCCCTAATTCCAGTTAAGACGCCAACGTCATATGAAGACATTCTTAAGAATTGTGTGCTGCAACAGTTTAGGGAGGGCGTTTTTTATTCCGGCATGACAAGCATGAAATGATGTGCTCAGTCTCATGTGAGGAACTGGAATGCCCAGCAAGAAATTCTACATGAGCGCTAGCTTCAGAATAAATTTAATCATTTAAGATAATTTTGTGCCTGGATATGAGCAAAATCTTAGAATTACCATTGAATCCAACTGGGAAATCTTTACAGAAGAATGAAGGCTATACAGATGAACAACTCCCTAATAACATCAGTGGTTATGAAATTGTTCGTAGTTTGGGTGTACACATGCTTTTGACCATATGGTGTGTAAGATTTATTATAGTCCCACATTCTTTATTATTATTATTATTATTATTATTATTATTATTATTATAAAACACAATGCAAAAACTGAAGATAAAAAATAAATTACTATTTATGGTCCATAACCTTCAACACAAAATCGGAAAAAAAACAACTTAACAATAAAAAAATAACAATGAGAAGAACATACTACTACTACTACTAATAATAATAATAATAAAAGACAAAATTAATAAATTTAAAATAAAAATAAAGGTATAACATTACAGTATTAAAATAATAATAATTTAAAAAATCATAATTAATAATAATACACTAATTACAATATAATAATAATAAGAAGAAGAAAAATAAAAAGATAATAACAACAAATAATACTAATAAAATAAATAATACTAAAATAATAAATTATAATAACAATAAAATGAAAAACAAAAATATAATTATTATAACATAACAATATAATAATAATATTAACAATATAATAATAATAATAATAATAATAATAATAATTACAATAAATAATAATAGTATTAATAATAATAATAATAATAATAACAATAATAATAATAATTACAATAAATAATAATAGTATTAATAATAATAATAATAATTACAATAAATAATAATAATAATAGATGGATGAATGGATAAATAGATAGATAAAGATAAAAATTGAAAGCATCTTTATATAAAAGTTGTCTGAAGCAAAAAACACTAAACAAAAACAAAACAATGGCAAAAAACAAACATGACATAATATAAAAATATTAAAATAAATAAATATAAAATAAATAAAAAATTAACACGTTAAACAAAAACTTCAAATCCAACAGCAGAATAACAATCCACCAAAGCACACCAAACAATCAACAAAAAGTAAAAATAAAACCAAATCAAAACCAATAATAGTTATTGGTTAGCAGTTAGCAAACTCAAAATACCTTTTATTTTCTTACTTAAAAACTTGAAACCATTCAAGGGTGAGTAAATTTTAATTTCTGTATGAACTACCCATTTAAAAATTAGATGGACACAGGACCAAAAATAAAATCTCAAACAAAAAGCATCAGTGTTTGGCACAAAAGTGATGGAACTGACCATTACTGCATTAAAGCCACAAACACCTTTTCTAAATGTAAAAGCCATAAAGCATTTTTCCACACTGTACCAAGCCGAGTAACACATGCCCTTTTACAGTCTCTGTGAAAGTGGCTCCACTAAACTCCTCAGGACTGTGCTGTGCTATATTACAGTGCATCTCTCATCAGCTCCTGCCCTTCCACCCCAGCTGGTCCTCTTGGGGACGGATGGATAAAAGGCTTTTTGCAAACGCTTAGAATTGAAGCCACAGTGGGAGAGAGGTGGTGGGCGGCAATAAAATTCACACTGCTTGGCCAGCATTTCTATTTGAGTGGTTATTTATTTATTTTTACTGGTACACATTTGAGAAGTGGGAACAGTATCTCTTCACACTCAACACAATAAAAAATGAAACCTGATGTCTCAGACAGAAGATGAATAAGCTAGTTACTTACAAAATAAATCATATTTCTCTTATATAAGAACAACAGGGATGAGTCGAGGTACAGTAAGAGGAAAAAATAGCTTTGACAGCACTTGAATGCTCCTTTGTTCCCTGTAGCTGTTGTAAACTGCACATTTTCGATTACCTACAAATAACAAGGTGCTGTTGAAGCTGACAAGAGGTTTACAGTACGTAGCTCAGCCAGGCACAGTGAGACTGCAGTTTCCTCTGATGGATCTCATGACTGCCAACAACACAAATGGATGCTAATCTGGGGCCAGGTTATCAGTTTCACTGCTCTAAAAACAGGTCGGAAATTTCAGAAGGGAAACTAAAAGATTCCGGTGCCCAAATAAATGCATATTTTAGTAAGAGTCAGGGCAACATTACAACTTCTTTACAATTATACTGTAAAAGCAGAAATTATAATTATGATGGAAACGTTTTGTTACTGTCTGACATTAACTTACAATGAATTTATTGCAGTTTCTATTGTTTTTTAGTTGATATTTTAGTGTAATTTTAGTATCTGTTACGGCTGGGTTGATAGACGATGTCATCGCCTATTGCCGACGATAGATAGACTTCATGATGCTGAGCCGACATTGCGATCCTCTGCACCGCCCCCATTGCAGCAGCGAAGCCCAAGACGTCTGACAGTTTATCAAAGACGTACCACTGGATTGCATCTCACTATAGTTGTTAAACATGATAATTAGTTAATCTTGTCTCTAATGACTCTTCGGTCTTGTGAATCAATCAGGTAATGTGTCACAGCGTCAGTACACTGCTTCAATCTTTCGAAGACCATGTGGGTCGGATAGTTGAACGGTAGGCTACAAATAATTAATTCGTTATGAATTAATTAATTATTCATAAATATTTAATTCACCCCCGCCTAGAACGACAATGTCATCGTCCATCGTGATGTTTTACATTGGTCATCATCGCCCAACCCTATCCGTTATAACTATAATTCATTCATTCATTCATTCATTCATTTTCTTTTCGGCTTAGTCCCTCTATTAATATGGGGTAGCTACAATGAACCGCCAACTTATCCAGCATAAACCAGCAACCTTCTTGCTGTGAGGCGACAGCAATACCTACTGCACCACCGCGTCGCCCCATAACTATAATGGCTTTTATTAATAATAGTTTAAGTTAAATTTAAAAAAATTCTATTCTCATTTCGATATAAAAATTTCCATGACTTATTTTATGGTTTTAGTATTTGTTAGATGAGCGTATATTCTATTTTACTTTTTAAAGATGTTCCACCAAACACTAAAATTTGAGATGCATATAAAATTGTGCTGGGCAAAGATTAAGAGCAATTAATCGCATCCAAAATAAAAGCTTGTTTTGGCACAATACTTCCATTTGTACTGTGTATATTGATTATGTATATTTAAATACACATGCGTGTATTTGTGAAAATGCTTAATTATATTTAGATATAAAATATATAAGTATATGAAATAAATTATAAACAAACTTAGCTTTGATGTATGTGTGTGTATGACATTTGCATAATAAATACATATAATACACCGAGATATCTTATGTAAAAACAAACTTTTATTTTGAATGTGATTAATCACAATTAGTCTTTGCCCAGCAATTATTATTTTAAATGATTGTATTTTTTATAAAATATTTATTTTTTATATTTATTCAATTAAATTATTTCAACTTCTAATGACTTCTAGCATTAATGCCAATTAATCAGTCCATCTATAAATGACCAAAAAGAATTTGACATATAAAAAAATTTAATTGACCGACCAATTGACTGAATAAATGAAGTACTAAATGTAATTGACTTAATTAAAAATTTGAATGGTTTTGGTCATAAAAAACAAGGAAACAATGATATCAATTTCTTAATAACCTAAACTATGATAACGTTTCCCTACTGGGCTCTAATTTGACCTCACTATTAACAAACTTCCAGAATATAATTTTTAAAGGGTTTGTGTGAATTAATTTATGTCTTTTGTTGACAACTTAAATATGCTTTTAAATAAACCACATATTTACAGACATTAAACGGCGTCAAAATGAGCACTTGGATAATTGAAGGGTTAACCCAAATCAAATAAACACCAGAACATCCCGAAGCCCTTTAAACATCTCATGAACACTTCAAAAAAATTCTCCTAACTCCAGCCTTGCTGATTTTTTCACATCTTGCTTTCCTTTTCTTCCTCATATTTGAACAATTTATTTTCTTTCATGTGAGGTGTCACTCCGTTAAATGTATTTCAGGAATCCTCCTTACACTTTCATTCCAATGCATACCTGCAGTTAATGGATTAAAAGAGTGCAGGGAAAGGTAGACTGAGCTATAAAAAAAAAATGCAAGGAACCTCAGGTACTATAGTGAAGTGAATGCCAGTACATTTTTATATTATTACAGTTCAGATTGGAGGTGATTGGCTAGCTTTATTGACCTCAGAGGTACCCTATAATCCGATTGGTACATAAATGGACAGTAACTTAATAAAGCTGTGAAACGGCTCACAGAAAACTGCAAAGACGCACATACATACAGATAGAGATAAGTGTTGTTAGATCATGCTGACAGGATTGAGATGGAGAGGGAAAAAAGAACAGGAGGAAAGACAGAGAGGACAAAGGGAAGAGATGGATGTGACTAAAGGAAAAAGAAGCAATCAATCCCTCATCAAGATCTTTAACAGAAGTCATTTTCTATTATCCCAGCTTAAAATTTAGAGCCATCTATAAGTAACCCATTTGTAGGTTGATTTCCCTACAGAGCAAACACTTGGCAACTTTTAAAACACTAATCTGTTAGTGAACATGAGCTAAAGACTCCACAACATTGACTTATCTAGTGGTGCAAGTTTGAGTTGGGAACTGCTAGATGAGACACTGCAGGTAAAACCTGCTTTAATGCACCTGTCAATTTCGAGATTTGGGGCTTTTTGGCTTTACCTGAAAAGCGTTCTCTCTTAGTCTAATGGATATATAAAAATCAAAATACAGTTTTAAGTGTTTCTTTTATCGCACTTAATCTACTTACTCTGTTGATTTCAGTTACAAAAACAGATTTTTAAAGAAATAGTTTTAAAAATTAAAATTAAAATGACCTCATCATTTACTCTTCCTTATGTGGTTTTGAACCTTTATGAGTTTCTTTCATTTGCCAAACACAAAATAATACATTTTTTAGAATGCTGGTTACTGGGACACAACCACTTCTGGAGTATAAAAAAATACAATGGAAGTCGATGGGTCCCAGCAATCAGCATTTTTCAAAAGCTTGTCTTGCGTGTTCAACAGAAGAAAAAAACATTTTTTAAGGTCAACTGTCCCTTTTTTTGCAGTGAGCCATAAAACACAGATGTCCACTACCAGGCAAAAGTCTTGTGGCCTATCCAGGTTTTAGAAACAACAAATAATAACTTGACTTCTAGTTGGTCATTTGGCATCATAAGTGGCTAATATAGAAGACAAAGGCCTCTAGATTACACTTATTTTACCAAAATAAAACATGATCATGCCTTAATTTTTAATTATTTCATTAAAACAGTAAGAGTTGACTTTGCTTAGACAGAAGTCTTGTCGCTTGCCAGAAATAATGTACAGTATTATTTGGATTATAAGATTTGTTGGATTCATCTTTAATGCTTCCTCCATCTTACCCTAGACATGCTCAATAATGTTCATTTTGGTGACTGGGCTGGCCAATCCCGGAGCACCTTGACCTTGTTTGCTTTCAGGAACTTTGATGTGGAGACTGAAGTATGACAAGGAGTGCTATCCTGCCTAAGAATTTGCCCTCTCCTCTGGTTTGTAATGTTATGGGCAGCACAAATGTCTTGATACCTCAGGCTGTTGATGTTGCCATACACTCTGCAGATCTCTCTCATGCCCCCATACTGAAAGTAACCCTAAACAATTTTTTTTTTACCACCAAACTTGACTGATTTCTGTGAGAATATTAGGTCCACGCAGGTTCCAATAGGACTTCTGCAATATTTGTGATGACTGGGATGCAGTTCATTCCTTCTGCCATTTTTCCAAAAGATCAACTAGAAGTCAAGTTATTATTTGTTCCTCTTACAACTGGGATCAATGACAAGATTTCTGTCAGGTAGTTTTATTCATGTATGTTTACTGAAGGTTTTTACAAAAGGGATGTTAACACAAAATTTGTAAATTGATCATATACAACAAGCTATTTTAATGCTTTTAATATAGCATTTATAACCTTTGACTCTAATATGTACAATACATAGAAAAAAAATGAAACAAGAATTTTAAAATTGACTTCACTCAATGTTCAGCTTTTGTGCTAGAAATGTATGAAAATAAGAAAATATTTAATGTCAATTCATAACCTTTTAGAAAACTTGTTGTAAAGTTTGCAATTCTAACGATGTAGGAGTAAATGAGGAGGTAATTTTCATTTTTTGGTGAACTACCCCTTCAACTTAATCCATTGACTGGGGTAGCATGGTGTTAACTTTTTGTTAATTTTGTTACCCTATTCACCTGCAGTGTAGATGCTATTTGTATGTATATTAAATACCTTGCCATGCTGTCCCATCCTCTCCAGACACACAACTGCATCCTCCCAGAGCTCCAGTCTCTCGTAGATCAGCAGTGCAGAACTAGTCAGGCCCAAATCAGTCAACAGACTCGCCAACTGCCTCTAAATATACACAGAGAGCCAAGATCAGTCAACATATGGCCCACTTGTCTCGAAATACACAAAGCATGTGGGAAGCACTCTGAAGTACATATTTAAATACATGTGAAAACAAAGCAAAAATAAAAATAAAAATAAACAATATTAATAAAAAACAAACAGAAATGATGTACTTGATTTTATTTTGGGTGGGGGCATTCCCTTTGTGACTTGTAAATATAAACATAAGGGCTATCAACCAATCAAAATTTTGAAACCAATTAATTACACGATACATAATTAATTTCATATACATAATGGCTTAAGCCAGGACTTCGCCTTCACTAACTGTTCACAAACTCCTGTTAAAGATTAAGTAGCTTATCTATAATAATCACAAATTAGCGGTGTGTATCTTTTCTTTTCACTATTCAATGGCACTGGGATATTTTAAAATACGCCAGTGCAGTTATTTCCAGCACATACATGCAATTTAGTCTTTAGAAACTATGTGGATGAATTGCAATTTAATCACAGATTAAACTTGGTAGGCAAACTATTGTTAAATAAAAAAGTATCGAACAAACTTTGAAAACAGTACCTATAGAAATTTAGAAATAGTGGACAAAAATTCATAAATATCTTCAATTTCACTACAATATAACCAAATCTATTATAAGCAGATGCATTATGTAGTGAATTTGTAATGTGAATGTGATACTGACAACGAAGGGTAGATCCAAATGCAGGTTTATTAAACAGAATGGTCAGACCGGCAACAGTCAACAGTCAACACAGGGGCATATGCGAGTGGTCAGAAACCAGGCAGCAGAGAGTAAAACAAACAAAATAAAGAAAGGGTCAAAAACAAAAAAGGCAAGGTAAGGAAAACGTGTCGCAATGTTCACAATTCAGTATAACAAGATTCAACTCTGATGCGTCTACTGCAGGGGTCACCAAACTTGTTCTTGGAGGTCCGTTGTCATGCAGATTTTAGATCCAACCCTAATCAAACACACCTGATCAATGTCTTACTAGGTACAGTATACTTGAGACACCCAGGCAGGTGTGTTGAGGCAAGTTGGAGCTAAACCCTGCAGTGCACCGGACCTCCAGGAACAAGATTGGTGAACCCTGGTCTACTGTATGTGTGCTGTTTTAATAGACCTGTAATCAGTCCATGAGCAGCTTCAGATGTGAGTGTTTGCAATCAGACAGGATCAGGAACTGGCGTGTTTATGTGCTGTGTGTGTGTTGTGTATGTGTGTATTGTGCATACTGTGATATGTAGTCCATGTAATTGCGGATTTGTAGTTTAAATAGTGATTCACAAATATGTCAGCAATCTGCAAGGATATACAACTAGTACTTGTGACAGAATTGTTAGCAACCACTATGCTTGACACTAATGAAATGTATGAAATATCAGCACAATCGTACAAGAAAATGTGACTATTTTATCAATAGTCAGAAAAGAGGCTAATTTACATGCCTGAAAATGTCATTCATAAAGAAGGTATGCTCCCAATCTCCACCCTAAACCATCATTAGGGGAAGTGCAAATCATACTAAAATATATGAATGAGTGTCCAAATTCATACAAATGAGCTACTAAATCAAAAAGTTACGAATTGCTGTGAGATTGCGTTGGGAAATATTAGGAAGGCTTTGTTTGATATAAAAAAATTAAATATAAATATATATAATATATATAAAAATATATATAAAAAAAAAAGTTAAAAATTGACAGAACGAATAACTTCATTGCATAATTACATTAGATAATGTTGGAAATGGGGAATTTAACAAAGCATCTGCAGTACAATGGGAAGTACATCTATATCAGTGCTCTCAAACTGCCGGCCCGCTGGCCATTTACGGCCCCCACCCCTCCTCCATTCAGCCTGCAACTGACGTTAAAAATATAACAAGATTCATTATTTATATATATATATATATATATATATATATATATATATATATATATATATATATATATATATATATATATTAGTGGGTTACATACACTTTCCCCCAGGGTGTGATCGCAGATTAATTCTGGGGCTGCATTGAAATATATGTCTGTAACTGCTCTATTTTTACTAAAGCTCTATTTTTGTAAATTTTCATGGGTCATTGGATTATTATCATTTTAAACCACCTGTATTTTCTTGTACAAACACATCTTAATGGCTTGCACATTATGGCGGTGGTGTAACAAATATGATAATTTTGCTAATATTGAAATATTTAAATAGTTTTATTTAGTAGATTTTCCTAATGCATAATAAGATGTGCATAATTAAAATTGTACTGCTAGTTGAATGGAACTTGTTAAAGTAAATGTGAATATATACATACTTTTCCTCTCATTGCTGTAGCTTTACAAAAACAAAAACAAAAAAAAAAAAACAATTGAGAGGAACAATTGTGTGAAGTGAAGTCACTAAAGTTACCCAATCTGCTTTCTGCTGTTCTATGCTATCTGTTCAACTTTTGGTTAAGCATCAATTGGTTGGGACAGAATAATAATAATTATTTTTATGCCTATTATTATATTGTGGTATATTCATAGCAATTTAAACTACTCATTCAATATATACAACAAGAAAGAAAAAGGAGCCTTGACTGCATATACTCTAGGGAAGAATGTCTGAGTGCATCTATTATGCCAGGTTTTCAATTCCAGTTTTTCTTGTGCTTGAATGTTAAAACAGCTCCTTATTTGAAATGCCAGACACAAATATGCACATCTAAGCAGATATTAATCAAGGAAAAAACGGATGTGGTGACATTCAAGATCTGTGAACACACGACTGTTACACTGATGTGCAAACCCATACACAAGAACAATTCAGTGCATTTAAGATGTTTCCACAGGTTTTAAAAAAAATCTGTTAGTATGACCATGAAGGATCACACCTGCACTCTTCTGCACTGTACCAAGGACACACACACAGTCTGTCCTGCTTTCATTTTCAGTCTTTTTATCTCTCTCACCTTCTTTCTAAAAGGATACATTTGGCAGCCGGCCATCCATCCATCCATCTCCACGATGTCATGCTTCATGGGCATCGGCTATATATACATCTGTGCTATTAATGACCCTCGTCTGTCTCTGATGAATGCGGCTGGTTAAATGTGTGTTTATACTCTTTCAACTCCGTCTGTCATTCACAGACCATTTGAGAACGGATGGATGAAGTGACAAAAAGGATGAAGGATGGCAGACAGTGTCCACTGCAGTCCGGGTATTTCTGTTAATAAACATACAGAGATGTTGTACTACTGCTGTTTATGAAGTTAAAGCTGATGTATACAGTATAACCGCTGTTTTTTTATGTGGAGAGTAAACAACACCGAACTGACGTCACCCTCGACCTTCAATATCAGCAAGACATCACGAACACGTCGCTGTGAGCGATTCAGAGGCAGGAAATGCTCAATTCCTGCACAATTTCTCCTTCACCTTTCTGTCCTGTGACAAACCCTCCCGCCTTCAGTGGCATATCACGTCCCACAGGCATTACGGGTGCCTATAAATCTAGATATATACACACACAGGGGTGAGGCTGCTGGTGATCATGTGACCTATCAGCCAGGAAAGAAAACGTGATGTTACTAACTAATACAAAGAAAGAGAGAGATGGAGAACACACATGCTCACACACACACAAACGAGCCGAGCACTTTTTCTTCCTTACATTTATATCTTTAGCTGATGTTAAAATATTTTTTTTATTAAAAATAAGTTTAATCTGTAGTAAAAAAATAAAATTGACCTATTTTTGGACAATTCTGTATTCTGTAGCCAATGGAGGAAAAAAGTTCTTAAGTTGCTAATAATATTGACTTTTTTTTTTTTTTGCTTTTATTTTGGACAAAACAATAGTAGTGAGACTTTCTTAAGCAAAAAATAAATAAATATTAAAGAAAATAAACTGTGAAATTGTACTTGCTAAACATAATTGGGAAAAAAGTGAAAAATATTATTGCCTTTAACATTTTGCTTTATGTATCTGAACATTTGATTGTGATTGTTAAATGTCTGCATTCAGTTAATTAGGCTGGCTTGTCAAAGCCAGACTACTGTTATCCTTTCTAAACTTATTAGGCTGGCTTGAGAAACAAGCCAGACTACTGAAATCCTATTTAAACTTATTATTTTTTTTATATATTATTCTTCTTCTTCTGAGACTAAAATTCAAAATCTATCTCCTCCTAGAGCTTTCGAGCTATGACCCCCAAACTCACACCAGACCTCCAAACTATTCTGACTCGGTATGCCATATCTTTTCCGACTGATCCGACTTTCGATTTTCCGAAAAACGTCCCGGGACCGTCGGAAAAATCCCATAGACTTAACATTGGACCAAACTTTGTGACATTATAACTCTGCGTCAGACTGTCACACAGACTTCTAACTGGGCTCATTTAACTCAGACTACCTAACTGCCAATAACTGATGAGGTTTTAACTTTCTGGCCACGCCCTAGCAACCACTTTTGGACCCTAGAAACTGTCCCATAGACTTCCATTCAAAGGACTCTCATTGACTTAACATGGGATCAAAATTTGTGAGCTCATAACTCTGCATCAGACTGTCATACAGACTAATGGCTGAGCTCATTTAACTCAGACTACCAAACTGCCAATCACTGATGAGCTTTTAACTTTCTAGCCACACCCTAACTACCAGATACTGCACCCTAGCAACAACTGTCCCATAGACTTTTATTGCAAAAGACTGTCATTGACTTAACAATAGATCTAACTTTGTGACCTCAAAACTATCTATCTATCTATCCTTTTTCAAACTGCTTTTATCTATCTATCTATCTATCTATCTATCTATCTATCTATCTATCTATCTATCTATCTATCTATCTATCTATCTATCTATCTATCTATCTATCTATCTATAAACTGTTTTTATCTATCTATCTATCTATCTATCTATCTATCTATCTATCTATCTATCTATCTATCTATCTATCTATCTATCTATCTATCTATCTATCTAT